TACGAACACTGCGTTACGGTCACGCCGCGTTGTTATCATTATTGCCGTCGTCGTGATTATCGTTAACAGGCGCATAATAGTCCGCGCGCCCCCGGGGTCCGTCCGGAACGCTCGGCGGCGGTGGCGGCGGCGGCGGCCGGGGAAATAACGGCGTGTGCCGCCGGGCGAGTGTCGCGTGCGGTTTTTCCGCGGCCCGGGACGAATCCCGCAAAAAAAGGTCTCGCCGAAAACGCGCGCGCCGCACACGGCCAACGCGCGATGCGTGCGCGTACCCGTACGCGGTCGTCGCTTCCGGACCGCCCGGGCGCGCGCGGCGGGTCCCGGCGCGGGCGGGGACACGAAGGGACCGGCGTCGCGCCCGCAGCGCCGGCGGCGGCGCGGAATATTTACGCGGGAAGACGTCGCCGTCCCGATCCCGTGTGCCTCCCGTGCGGGTTTCGCGCGAACCGCTGCCGCCGCCGTCATTACCCTCATTAGTAATGCGTCTTTTTTTTTTTTCTTTTTATTGATAATAAACGCGCGATGCGTTCCGAGTAACGCGCCGTCCGATTCGCGTGACACGCGACTTCAAAGGTGATACTTTTATTTTGCCTATTTCCCCCCCCCCTGTATTTTTCATTGTTTTTTCATTTTTCTCGCCGTCTTTCGGTCGTTTTATTGCGCGTTCGTACGATACACGAGTGCGATGACAATAAACTTTGTATATTTAATCCATGGCCAATTACCCGTGTTTTTCGGGTCTGCCAGTCGTTCGGGCGAACACAGCCTTTCTCGGTCGATGAATAAATCAAATTGTATTTTACATTTTCTAAGGGCATTTTCGCAGTAAAATCAATTTTTTTTAAAAGGCGTTTTTAGCGTTTTCCGATGAATTTCGGTGCATTTAAATCCGGTCCCTACTCGCAATTGCGCACAGTGTTAGCGCCGCGACGGTCGACCGGCGCGATCGTCCGGAGCGTCCGCGAAAAACCGGCTCGTTATCGGCTTGTCGGTACGGGCCGCGTGCGCCGCCGAATCGACGATAAAGCCGTGGGAAATCGTCCGAACGGTCGCGCGAAATTCAACGCTCGCCATTTCACGCGCGCGGCGTACTCGCGTGACGCCAACGTTCGCTATCGACAAGACGGTCGGTTCCGTTCGGTCCGCGTACACGGGCGCCCGCGTGTTTTAATACAAACGAGTACGTCGAATTCCCGGGCGCGTACACAGAGTTGTTGACGCGGTAATCGGTTTATCGAAGACTCGACATTCGGCGGCGCGGGCGCGTGAGGTACGATCGCCGTCGTCCGCCGGCTGTATCCGCGTCGCAGCGCGGCTATTATTATTCCGCGCTACCATATCGATCGCCCGATTTCCGCGTGCGCCCGAATAACGCCCGAAACCCCGCGAACACGGATGTTGAATTAACGCGCGTTAATTATACGCGAACGCGAATTTTTCGTGCGCGCCGCGTACACGTACGTGTACATTCATTCGCGATTTAAATCGAGACCTCTGCGCAAAATATTTATGTATTAAACGTAAACCGAAACTATACTAAACCTGTTATACTGAACGATACACGGTCACATATAATAATTGCCGGTGATTAGAGTAGAACTTTGTTGAAAAGAAAAAAATGTGTTTTTTTTTTTTTTTTATTCTGCCGCGTTGAGTTTAGTCTACGCGCGATATTTTGTCCGATACTTTTCTCGACGAAAAAATCGCTATCGCATTAATTTATAGCCCGTTGACTAAAGAAAACAGTCGGACGTCCTGTAGCCGATTCGAAAAAAAAAAAACGCCGGTACCATCGCGGTTTGAGAATCGATAACCTATTATTATAATAATATGTTGCCGTTAGTGCGAACGGAATTGTTTTTTCATCGCGGTGTATTGCGTTTAATTTCAAATCGCACCGCGTTCGGCGGTAAACGCAAAACCCGGTGGACATGTCAACGCGTATTGTATTCAATTATAGAAAATCAAATAGACGTCGATTTACCATCGGGCAAAACAAAACCGTCAATTTGGGTGCCTATACCGTAGCAGGTACCCGCTGCCAGGTGCGTTTAGAAATACATTTTTAGAGAGAGGGGGAAACGGCGGTGAAGAACGAACAATTTTCAATTATCTTATAACAAAAGAAGTTTACATAATTTCAATCTTAGGAAAAATCATTTTCCATAAGAATATCAATACATTTTTATAACATTCGTTTTCAGTCTTTTATGTAGGCGTCTATTATTAAATTATACGTTTGATTTTTTTTTTTAGTGAATACAGCCTAACGTAATTCATATTGGTGCGACGGTGATGCGGACTATGTGACACCGTCGTGTCAATAATAATTTTCAAAAATTACAATAATAACAATAATATACGAGTATACCTATAGTCTAACGATAAAATACTAATAAAACCGAAATTGTTTTTTTATATTTCTCATTGAAAGAAACTACATTTGAGACTCTATTAAAAATCTACTTTTATCATAATTCTAATGGAATTTCGAGGAGGAATCAAACTCCTAACCCCGCTCCCTTGTACAAGCGATTGCCTACTGCATACAATTTTTTATCGATTTAATAATTGACTGGATTGACTGTTATTATTAGTTCTTATTGACATACCGCGTGCGTGTTAGGACTTGAATGCAGTTTTCGAAGACGTAGAATGCAAAATTATAATAATATAACTATACATAGATGCCCAGCAGAAAATTATATTTGTATTTGAATATTATGCCGGCAGATATCAAAAGTAAACAAAATTATTACAATCGGATGTCGGAATATGGCGTGTACTCGGTGTGTCGGGCAGGGGCAGATTTAACAATTTGGCACCCCTATGGTAAATTAAATTTGCCGCCCCTATTCTAAGAAAAATAACTTATGCGTAATAAATTATCCATATATNTATTTTTTTTTTTATAAAGTTAAAATAAACAAGAAAAACAAAGGTTTTTTTTTAAATAATATAAGTGATTTTAATAATTATTATTTGTATGAAATTTTTTCTAGATTTCATTCTCGAAAAGTCGTCAATGATATCTTCATAATCTGATGATGATGTTAAGTCATTCTCTGTTGTTAATATGGCCGAGGAATTTAATCTTTCTTATAGCACAGTTGGTCTTAAATAGTTCTTTATTATTTTCGAGATCGAAAACGAACGTTCGGCAGTACAATTGCTAGGTGGTGTTGAGACGAATATTCGAAGAGCAATTTCAGTATTTGGATAAATATTTTTCATATTACGATCATATATTACTTGCAACAGTAGGAATGGTGTGATTTTTACTTCGTTGAAACGTGTAATTAGATGAAAACGAAAATGTAAAAGTCCGTTTATAAATTAATTTCTTCTAAATCTGATTTGTAAATACAATTTGCTTTAACCGTTATTTCATAATCTATAAAATGCACGTAGTTTAGAAAGAAAATCAAATGGCTTACAAAATGTTTCATAAGATTTTCGTCTATTAGCCAATTCAGTAACCAATCTGTCCAGTATAACATGAAATGTATTAAATCTAAAATTATCTTCTGCTAAGAATTTTACTTGTCCATTTCGAGTTTTATCACGGTGCACTATTGTTTTTTCTTTTTATAGAATTTTTATATTGATACAATTTGCTTTTTATTTTGCTTATTGATTTTTCTAGGAATCATCAAACGCCTTTCACTGTATAAATCAACGAATCGTGTAACTTGAGGACCGTTATTGTTACGATTCTGTATTTTTTTTTGCTTACAATACTTAACCGGTGAAGTAAAAACACCACACTACAGCCACGAATGTCATTTCTAGTTTCTCAGGTTGTATCTAAAGTTAACGAGCTTCGCATTTTTATTTCTGATTTTTCGGTTTTATCCAATCCGATTGTACTAAAAATATCCCATTAGATCATTCAAGTTGGCATAAGATAAACAACAAAATAAGCTCTAATAAAGTATAATCGTTGTCGTAATTGACGAATTCACGAGATAAATAAATATATATAGTTTTGCTAAAAATTAACGAATACAAAATCCGAAAAAAAAAATTTTTTTTAATTGTAAAACATTAAAACAAAATTAATATTCAACACGATTTTTCCGCCCTCCGAAATTTGCTGACCCATGCGGCCGCATAGTTTTCAGTGCCATGAATCCGTCACTGATGTCGAGTGCATCGGCGTATCGTATTGAATTGGACAAACTCACACCAATAAACCGACAAACATGCAATGATCAACTGTATCGGTTTATTTTACCATTCACGATGAGTTTCGCGTTAAATTTCCGAGCCTTTGTGCCCAAAATTAATTTTATTCGCATAGAACCAAATGAAAAATCGACAATTGCATATGAACATAAACATAGCTGAACAATTCTCAGAATGTTTTGAACATTTGATCGAGTTAATCAAATGCTATTACAAGTATTCTAGACAAATTCCCGGTGCCTGAAATAATTTTTAACGAAATTCCGTATTTCGTCGCAATGAAAACGTATTAAAACAAACAAACTGTAAATTCAAAATAACGATAACCGTTAATTGTGTTCGTTTTCTCCGGTTTTTTTTTCTTTTTCACAAACTATTAAGACTCACACAGCGCACCGGCTTTGACGAGACGAAAATATACTTTTTTTTTTTTTTAGTTAAAACGCTACGTTGGACGGCGGTGGAAAAGTCGTTAACGGAAGAAAAATGAACGTTGCGTTGAAATATTTTAAAACGCAAATTTCGTGACATCTTCCGTTCGCCGGTTATTATATAATATTACCGAATCGGTCTGGAACTCCGGACGGGCCGTTCCGTCCGCCGTCGCCGACCCGATGTTTTACTTGGTCGTTATTGTTGTCTGCCGGTCCGCCGCAGTACGGTGCGACGTAAAACCGACGGTCTGCCGCCGTCGGCCCGTCCGCCCGGACGCCATAAATATTTAATAGATAACACGGCGAATACACGGAGTGGTAACAATACGTCACCGTTAGTCGCGTCCGAAACGCTACAAAAATGGAAATTAAATATTCAACTCGTCTGCGCTTATTACACCCCCGGACAGGCCTCAGGCGGTATGATATTAGGTAAAGTTACTGTTGTTTTTTGTTTTTTTTTTTTTTTTTGTAGTTTTTTTTTGTAGTTTTTTAAATAAACATTTTTTTTTTTTCGTCCATTTTTCACGCCCGTATATCCCGTCCATTTCAATTAACCCGTTAATACATTTATTTGGAAACGAGCGTACCGTAATAATACCGGTATTTTTTTTATTTTTTTTTTTTTTTTTGAAATCGAATTCAATACATTAAAAACACAGTGTTGAGTTTAGTTGCCAAACATTTTAGTGTACAAATCACGTGCCTCTAACGCGTTGTAACAATATTGTAAATACAATAATAATTGTTTATTATAACACTCAGTACTATATTATGATTGTCGAAACGTTATTTTAAAGGTACAATCACCTGAAAATTACTGCATCCTTAGTATGTAAAACTAAATTTCCTTGTAATAAATTGATCTGCCTTTAGATTTCCATGTGTTTAAATTTTAAGTTCAACTATCGTTGAGTAATGAGAAAATCGGAAAGCTACACACAAAGAGTATATCAAGACATTTAGCTTCTGGTTCATTAGGGATATTAACTTTAAGTGTCTAAACACCCATCAAATTTTAATTGGTGCATAAATTGTTCGAGAATTTTTTATTGAATTGATTGGACCATTTCGGACCATTTCTCGGACTGGACTATAAAGTTATGTATATGATTTTTACTTATAAGTGGTTTACATATAGTATTTAATTCATGAAATCAAATTTGAAACTTCAGTTTTGATATTTGACCAACTTAAATATTTTAAAAAAAGCTTATACTGAAGACGGGTGTGTCGTCAATGATAACAACAAATGATTCAGAGCGAAGTTCGGTTATTCATGATAAAAAAGTCATAATATTTGTAATTTTTGTCTTTATAATAATTTCAATAAACATTTCTCAGTGGGCTCCTGACAAATGGGCGGACATTCGGAAGCATATAACAAACCGTGCGTTTCAGATCCATCCGGCCCTGTCCGGGATTTGAAGAGAAGCTTCCTGTTAAAGTCGTACAGTCCAAAAAGACAGTACCAAAACCGTTCCGCGATGGTATACGTGCTATTAGTGTGTACATTTAAATTTATATAAACGATTCCGTTGAATTAAAAAATACAAAATGTACTTTAAATAAATTAATAAGTGAGTACCTATTAGTGCACAGAGAAAAAAAAAACAATTTCAGTTAGATGAGAAGTTACTATAAAACAAAATATTGTTTATAAAAAGGAACGTTTCACAATGTTAGTTAAAAAAATAAAACTTAGTATAAATATATTATACCAATTTTATATATATATTTTTAAAATTTCCATAAATATCCATTAATCTTTATTTGAATACAATTTAAAATACGATCTGATACTAATGATGGAGAGGCCACTATTTTAGATGAGAAATTAGAGTGCACAGTATACAACATTGAATGATTGCAAAAGAACAAATGTTCCGAACGGAGATCTGTTAAATATTGTTTGATAAATTAAAACTACCGACATTATGTCATATATTTACAATTACAAAATAAACAACAATTGTGCGTGTTTTTAAAAAAATGTCACCTTAAATTTAAACTTTAGATCCCTAGTGAAAATAATTGACAAATGACAATGTAAAAACGATCTAATTTAATTCTTTACTAATAAAAATAACTTATGATGAATATTGTGTCGCATTGTGGAATATTTGTATAGAGCTAAAATATTTGTGTACCTAGAAAGGGTAAACAAAATTAAACATTTTAAGAGACTTAAATCAATAAGAAGAAAAACGCCAGAAACTATATTTAACATTTCTTCAAATCAAAAAAATGTTACTTATCTAAAAATACCCATGTTGTCCAAACTAATAATGACAATAAAAAAAAAAAAAAAACCATTAACAAAATATATCAGCGCATTGACGCAAACTCTATTGTTACCTGTAAACAAAAAACAATGCATTTATGTGTGACAAGGAATAAATGTATATAAACACGAATGAGTTTTTTGCTCATTTACAGTCAACTGTAGGATACAGTTTTGAGAATAACATTTTATTCTTCGAATAATACTCGTTCTCAAACACTGACAAAATGTTTTCTTAACAGTTCATCAATTCTCTCACGTGAAAAACATTGAAAATAATTGAAAAATTAACAAAAACAAACGAAACATTTTTTTAACCGAAAGCCGACGAACGGGTTGAACAAAACAACGCGGGTCCGTAGTTACGCCTTAGTCCGAACCATTACGCCGTTTGACGGTGACCGGGTAAAATTTAAAAGTTGTCAATAATAATATCCGTTGCGTTATTATATTAATTGTGTCTCTTTTTCGCGGAGAGCTGTTTGTATCTAACCAGTCATAATATCCACGCGGTCGCGTGCGACACGCGAAAATGCATTTCTAGTCGTCTAACTATTGTTTCCGTAGACTTGTAAAATAATTTTCGCATCGGCGTACCCGCGAGTATTACACGGTACAACAATAATTGTCGTGCACGCGAACACCGTGAACCTACACTGCGCTTGTTTACGTCTCATTTTCGATATTGAAACGTCATCACGGGTAACGCGAACGGATAATATAGTTTGGCTTTACGCGGAGACGTAATAGTCGTCGTACGTCAAAACATCTACGACGGGGACGGAAAAAGTTGATTTAAAGTTTCACCATAAAACCAGACCGTTCTCCGTTGTATGTTTTCGTAATAATATTCAACGCTATAACAGTTATGTCGTGGCGCCACACGATTCTCGAATTAACGGACGGTCGAATCTATACAGCCGTTAAAAACGACGATTTCAATAATATAACGATTAAATGTCGGATTCTCGCGACACTGCGCATTATATTTGCACCCGTGTTAGAGTTAATGAAAACGGGTACACCGACAGTAACGTTATCGGATATAAGGGGATTGGTGACGGGTGTGTATTTCAGTCGATTTAAACCCAAAATCCACACACAACCGTAGGATTGATGTTTGACGTATTTAAATTTTCAAAACGGATTATGATTTTTCATAGGCTTTTTAACTACGGTAATCAGACACAAGAAGAAATAACACAAATATATATTATTTTTTTTTTAATTTGAAATTGATAAAAAAAATCTGAAAGTAATTCTGAAAAAGATTCAAATATTTACTTAAAGAAAATGTTTTCGTTTTACTTGCGATAAAAATAATTAGAATCCAAAACATTTTTTAACTTATCCTAATAAAGATCGTTTTAAATCATAATACATTTTCAAAATTAAAATTCGTGAAACGCAGTTCCTATTGTTTCATCTGGCTTATCTGTCTAAAACGTCATATTTGTCCATAAAAACAACGGATTATTTCCATTCAAATAAAAATGATTGGTTAGTAGATTAGTGGAAAAGTCTTATCAAAAAGGTTGCCATTGATAGGGTGATAGAGCTATTTGTCAACATTTTAGTATTGTATATATTTTTTTTTTATGTTGTGGTAAAATATAAACCAATTTTTCAATTTTCATTATTGTAAATGATTTCCCCCCCCCTGTCCATAAAATTAAGCTACATATACATTATAGTATATACTAGACACGATAATAATTATTATTTAATAGGATATTTCGGAAACAACCTACAAAATTTAGAAATTTCGATTGCAACATGATTTATCGTCATTACCCTATATCTTATAACTTCCCAACAACTTCCCATATTCAGCAGTAAATCAACCCTAAATTAACTGGTGCAGCGAAATGTGGCTGGTTTTTTTTTTTCTTCGTCTATATATGATACGCTATACAATATGACTAAATATTGACCAAATCCTAAATATACGACTGCACTGTTGGCAATTATTAAAACACTATAATAATAATAATAATATTGGATTGATCGGGATAATCGGATTATCACGAAAATTAATAATAGAATATTTAAAAAAAAAATAAAAAAAAACTTGTACGTTTTATATTTGTGAAAAATTAGGAAGATTTAAATAAACTGCGAAAGCCATGAATTCCAATTAATATTTTTAAAATTTATCAGATCGAGTTTAATTTTCCATACAATTAGTTTAATCTAGAATTCTCAGTATTCTCGGGCAATTTATTTCGGGTATTATTTTCCTTTTCATCGTTTATTAATAATTAGTGTAGGCGTAGGTAATTATGTGTACCTACCTAGAAAGTGTATATTACGCTCAACGACCTAGTATTATAAACATTAATTAAGGGAAGAAATTAAGATGTATACGGTTAGAATGATACTTACCGCGTTTAAGATGATGATACTTAAAATGCATTTAGGTGTGTATAAGTAGTAAAAAATGAGTTATACTTTGCCATCAAACTGTTGAAATTGTGTAATTACGAAGAAAATATTACATTATTATTACAAGGATCAATTACGATCATTAATTATACGATATAATAATATTATTGCGTCAACGGTAGTATCGTGTCATGTCCCCTCCCTCTGCCACCCCTACCTTTGCTCGGTTTTTTTTAAATATTTCGATCATAATCGGTTCACGTTTATGTTACTTTCTAGTTATTTACGGCGTACTGATGTGGTTCGTTTTCATATTTTATTGATTAAGCAAGTATAAAAAAGGTTCTTCTTAAAGGTAATAAAGAAATTAACGTCGACACAAGAACATGGAGTTTTAAGATTTGTGTTTTACCTTCCCGCAAACTGCTATTCTGGCAATTACAACGTTACTGCACATCGATCGAGTAGTAGGGGTAAACTACTCTCGGGATGAAAACAATTACCTACATAGGAACACTTAGTTGTATAGATTTCCGAGTAAAATAATCCTATGATTTACAATAGTATTGTTAGAGATTCATTATAATATTATTACAGAAATACTAATCGTATTTTCTACTACCAAGTTAAAATTAAAATTAATAACTATAAATTTATAAATAGGTTTCAAAAAATTAATTATTACTATCATACGATGCATAACGACTCGGAAATATGTCCGTTACCCTCGTCCCTCAGATACGTCATGAATTATATCTATTTCGCTATATACACGGCCTGCAGTATATCAAAGTTCCCGAGGTCCATATGACCGTCGTTACGACGAAATAATAGCTGGTATTAGACAAACTAACAGCTTTACGCCAAAACGGCTGGCACCGCCATCATTTGTACGATACGGGAAAAAAAAGCGAAACATTTATTATCCACGAGTAAATAAAATAGTTATAGACATCAGCGCGAGGTTCCGGGCGTTATATATATTTTTTTCTTTTCGTTTTTCAATTTTCATTATCGATAGTGGTCCGCGCACCCGGCCGGGGTTCTCTCGGATCATCTTCTGCGGGCAGTACAGCGTGCGAATCAATGACGGGGTACCGTCTTTTTTCTACGTGAAATCGACTCTCGTCATAAACGATGTCAACGGCGGCGGCGGCGGCGGCGGCGGCGGGGACGACAGAAACGAAATGTCATGTACCAATCGTTACAGGCATTATTTCGTATTATCTAGATAAATTATCCAGATAGATATATTTGTGTCTGTTATCTCATCTAGATATATGAGAAATAATTTATCTGAGCCATTTATAAGATACGTAACTGATTCAACTAGGATCTATATCCTAGATCATCGTTTTTTAACCTGTTTACGACCCCCGAAATAGATAAAACATAAAGTCAATCACCTCACGACCCCCTTATAATAAAAACTAATTTTATCTTTTATCTGTTTAACCGGTTACAACAAATATTTTATCATTAAATATTAACGAAACAAATAACATGCATGCGGGAACAACACGAATGTGTATTTATAAATCGGTAGAAAAATCCATTGGCGGTGGGTACTCGCATTTATTAACGAGACACGGGAAATAATTTACT